ACGAGCGACAACTATTGCACAAATAAGAGCTTGAGAATTCTACGGACGCGGCTCATCTTCCACCTCGAGCAACACCCACGTCGTCCCGCACCCAGCCCACACATCCACCACTCTCGGCCTCTTCCTGGCCGCCGCCGAGTCCCCCTGGACGGTACTCGGAAAACGTGGTAACGCGAGACGCACAGGCGTCGGCTGGTCCTCTGCATGTCCAAGCCCAAGATTCCCATGCTCGTTCCACCCCCAGCCGACGACCACTTGTCCTTCTTCTTCTTCTTCTTCGCCGTCGTCGTCTGCGTCTGCGTATGTGGTCCCCGCTGTCGCTCCAGAGGTGCGCGATAAGGGAGAGTCCAGAAGGAGTATAACGTGTTCGCTCCCGCATACGAGTTTCCGTAATCGAATCTCTCCTCGTGCCCGTGCCGCCGCTTGCGAGGTGTCGTCGTGTGCAGTTACAGCGGTGTGAGTGCTAGCGGAACAGCACATGGGTACTCGTTTTGCTATGATGGGGTCGAGGTCCACGTCGAGGGATGGCCATAACGGCGACGGCGACGACGGACGACCGAGTTGACCATGTGTGTTGCTTCCCGTCGACACCACGACCACGTCACCATCACCTTGCCCTCCTCTGCGGAGAGCAGCGACCGTACCATTCCACGTACACCCAACGGTCTCATACCTCGCTCCGGAAGCATAAGAAGGAAGCCCCCCAAGTTGGGACTTGGTGTCGTCCCCCATCGTCAAGATTCGCCCCGAGGCGAGGCGCAAGACGGTGTGCCGTGCGCCGAGGGCGACGTGCGTGATCTTACCCCCCTCCTCCTCTTGATCAACGAGGTACGGGAGTGGAATGCGCACGGGGAGGGAGTACTGCGCGGGGTATGAGGAACGTGGTGGTCGGGTGCGCGAACGGGTGGTACTTTGCGTGTTGTTGGTGGGCAATGATGATGACGATGATGCGCTGGCTGTGGGTACGGATGGGCTGATGCCGGTTGGGGTGGACGGAGGAGGGGAGAGCTGGCCATGCCGAGCTGCACCCCATCCATAAACACGCTGCTCCGTCCTTGTTTCCCCCTTTGTGCGCTTTTCCTCCTTCGCGGCGAGGGTAACGTCGCATACGCAGACAATGTGCCGTTGGCTGACGGTCATGTGGCGCACGACGACGTGTATCGTGGTCTCTGTGGCGTTTGTCGAGGAGGAAGGAGGAGGAGCATTCCAGCCTGGTAGTCGGACGACTTGCACGCGGCGTTGTGACTTTGTGTTCGTGATTCCCGCACCGCCGTCGTCGTCGCCTCCGCATCCAAGCTCGCCAAAGTCATCGCTCCCAAAGGCGAGGATCACGTCGGAGGACTCCTCCTCCGCCGCCGCGCCTCTTCCGGTGCGGGAAAAACAAATAAAGCTCGTCGTCCATGCGCATGCGATGTGTTTCGCGCGGTACGTCACCGTCGTGCGCTCGATGTCGGTGGGAAGGCCAGCGGAGGAGAGAAGCAGGTCGAGGTTGAGCGGCGTCCATGCCTCCAGCACCGCCGACGAGTCCGGAAACTGCGGCCCGAGCTGCCCGTGTGTCGAGCTCCCAGCGGCCCATACCTGCCCGTCGGCGCGGAGGAGCAGGGAATGCGCGGCGCCGGACACGAGGGCGACGATGCGGGCAGGGGCGGCGGGGGCGGAAGCAAACACACACGGGGAGAAACAGGCCCGGTCGCTGCGGTGGCCCACGCCCAGCTGGGCTGCCCCGTTGGAGCCCGCGGCGAGCAGACGGCAGGGCATTTCGGGACGTACAGCGTTTCACAGCGGCCCGCGCGGGCGGGCGCCCTCTTGCAGGGCACGCGGGACGGCGGGCGATCGGGCGGCGGAAGCAAATGCAGGGCTGAAACGCCTTTGGGAGTCATCAGTCGCCCCTTCGCTTGTCCTCGGCGTGCGCTGTACCTCCCTCTCGGCAGCAATGGCGTCCCTCCTGCGCCTGTGCGCGTCTCCCCCGACTTCCCCCGACGCGGATCCGTTCCCGTTCGCGCTCGCCTCCGTCCCGCCGTCCCCCGCGCCGATGCCCCCGAGTGCGCGGTTCACGCCGGACGAGATGCGCGTGTATGGCGCACGGCCGATGGACGATCTCGGGAGGGAGCAGGGGTTGTATCGCTGTGCCGCGTGTGGCAAGCCCGTCATGGCCGCGAGTTTGGCGCGGCACGAGGGTGAGTCCGAGCGACGTCCGACGAGCGAGCGCCGAAGGCGCGAGAGAGGAGGGCGGAGCGAGGTGCGAGGCGAAGCGCCGAGCGAAGCGAGGAAACATCGAGCGAAGCGAGACTGCGCCGCAGGCACTAAGCCCGGAGGGCTCTCCCGAGGGCGGCGTAGGCCGCCCGAGAGTAGTCGCCTTCACCGAGCGCGCAAGCGCGAGAGAACCTCGGGGGAGGGAGGGACGACCGACCCCTCCGAGGGCGGCGTAGGCCGCCCGAGAATCACTCGAGCGAAGCGAGACTGCGCGCGCCGCAGGCGTCAAGTCCAAAGGACCCCGAGGCCGTCGTAGGACCGCCGAGACTCACCGTCTCCTCCGCACCGCAGGCCTCGAGTTCAAAGGACCTCGAGGCTCATGGAGATGGGATCGACGCATATCTCTTGGGCGACACCACACGAGGACTCCTTCGAGATGTCACCGTTACAACCCCATCTGTTCAACTCAAAGGCTAACCACCTCCTCTCTAGGAACCTGCCCGAGCCTATCACGCGGCGACTCGACTTCAGGAGCAAGACGACCGGGGATCGGATCACTTCCTGGGTCCGGGCCGGTTTATAAAAAGGGCAAGAACGGCTTGAAGCGTGGAGAGAGTGAAGGTGAGCCTTTCTTCGGTCGGAACATGCCTCGTGTCCAGCGTCATCGTCTGATTTATCACCACATCGCCAGTCTCCCCCACCCCGTCCGAAACACCGTCCAAGAAACGAATAAGATATTCTCCCTCGCGTTCCGTCGGCAGTGTAGACACGTCCTACCCTCTCGCCTCGACAGCCGCTAGCATCAACGGCATCGATCCCGCTTCCACGGGCGCGGGTGGTGGTGGATCCCAATCAAACCACGCCGCCACCGCGGGTGGGGGCAAGGAAAAGGACAAGACGGTTGGGATGATCGATTCCGACGACGGACGAATGTGGCTCGAGAATGGACGAAAAGAGACCAAGAAGCAGATGAGTAAGCGTCTGGCCGAGGAACGGAGGGTACAGAAACGCGAGGAGATGGCGGAGAGGGAAAGGATAAAGGCGGGCGTATCGACGGGGCAAGTAACCCTGACCGTCCCCGATCTCAAGATCAAGAAACCAAGCGGCGGTCCAAAACGTGAGCCTAATGGGTGCTCTACATCTTTCTTGCATAGACCGCTAACCTTCCCCGTCCACAGCAATCAAAGAATACGAACCAGACAAACATTGTGGCGTGCCAAACGACCTTGGCAACCCCTGTGTGAGAAAACTAGACTGCAAGATCCACACCGTGGGCGACAAACGCAACGTCCCCGGCCGTACAATGTCGTACGACGACTGTTTGCGGGTGTATAAAGGTGAACCTCCACGCGGGCCTGGGGATCCCTCCACGGGCGGTGGTGGAGCCACGCAGGGAGGCGGTGAGACGAAAGCGGGCGCCGCGAAAAAGGCGCGGCGACGTGGGCCAGGATCGGGTGGGGATGATGCCTCGCGTCGGAAATTCGGGTTCCTCGGTCTTACCCCCTCCGTTGGAGCTTCAGGTGGAGACGGATCAGCAGCGGAGCAAGAGGAAGATTGGGAAGCGCACCCGCTGGCTGCTATGCATGAGTTTGCAGAGCTGTTGGATTGCGTCAGGCGGGAGAATGTGTTGCTTGAAGGGCTCGTGAGGAGGCGGGCTTGTGATGAGCTGAGGGGGAGGGTGATGGGCGGTGGGGGAGGAGGCGAGACGGATCAGCAGGGGAGGGGGAAGAAGCCGGTCGTCCCGCCGGCCATGGCGGACGGGGAAACCGTGCCGCCTCCTCGACAACCAGATTCCCAAGTCAAACTCAACTCAACCACAGCAGCGGCGGGTGCCGATAAATCCGTGCCAACGACAACAGGGCAGGAATCGACGTTTGGCGGATTCGATTTCCTCGATGTTCCCCCACCCGCAGCAGTCGCTGTACCTCCATCTACCAAACCCGCAGCAGGGGTGCCAGCTCAGTCTTCCTCCTCGGGCGAACCCGGTGCAAAACCAACGACGACGGGTGGTAAACACACTGCAACGGTCCCGCCATCACAGATGGGGGCCACATACGGACCCAACATCCTCGCTCGTGAAACGTTTGCGGGTGGGGCGACGACGGGCTCGTGGCACCTCGATCGAAGGCGGATGGTGGGTGCCGAAAAGTGTTTTGGGGATATACTGGCGCAATTGAATGGGTAAGACCTGGGGAAAGCGCCAGGCTGGGACGAACCTGTTACGGACGCTATTTGTTGCTGTTGAGTTTGTGGAAGATTGCTGCGAGTGTATTTATCCGCTAGCGAGATACTGCGTTGGCTATCGTATTTGTAAGCTGCCCTCGAACGTACGTCAGAAATGAGAGAATCGGGCTGTATAGGCGTCGTGATGACCGGCTCTTCCGAGTACCGTGTATCAGAACCCCAACGTTCGTGAATGATCTTCAAGGAAGCTCCGCCTTGTGCCGCCTAAAGCTATCGCTATATGAGCAGAAGCATCATAATCTTCCCCATAGACAGCACGAAAGGGGTTATCGACCGTCCACCTCGGGAATGAACCGAACTAGTCCTCGTCTCCCGTCTGATGTGACTGATGAGTGCTTCCTGCATTACATCGCCGCAAGCTTACGAAACAGTGAGACAGGCGCGATCCGGCTTTCCAGCGAGCGGGGAACTTATCAAAGGGTTCCTTCGAGAGACCTTTGGAGACGGAAATACAGAGCAGCGAGGCAAAAAGTCGCCCTCAGTCACCTGTCCCATAGCACTAGGAAGCTGCGATGGAAGGGGCGGGGCGGCGAGCTGAGGGGGTGAAAAAAAGTAAACCTATTAGATCCCTGCCGGATTCGAACCGACGACCGACAGATAGCTACGAAAGAAGACGATCGAAGTCTGCTATGCTACCACTGCACCAAGGGACCGGTTGATGTTTGTCTTTTCTCAGAGAACGTATATCTCCAAATCGTGAAACCCCTTCAGCGAGATATCCGCGCCAATCTCCCCGCGTCGATTGGTGATCTAAGCAATCTTCTGTGTTCACTCAGTGTTCATACAGCTATACTTACCTACTTGTTACCTATATGATGCTGCCCTTGCAGTATGTCCCTCTGAACTCGTTCAGTCGCCGCGAAAAGGCACAGCCATGTCTTGCTCCCAAGTGGTCCGGCTCTCGTCTGTGCCGGTAGCGCGAAGGTGTACGTATCCGTCACTTATCCGTTCAGCGAGACTCCAGTCCACTTATGGGACCCCCAAGTCATGAAACTCGAATTCATGACCAGGTGTCACTGCATCGTATAACCGCCCCAGCTCGATATTTCGGAGGCAACGAGCTCTGTCAGGCCTAAGACCCTCTTTGGTACACTTTCGTACCGCTCGGGCCGGGGTATAGCGACCTATGGAACACGCTAAACTAGTGCTGGCTGCTTCACGATGGTGTGTAACTTGGTGGGTGCACATCTCAGCTGGAGTCACTTGGTGCATGGTTCTTGACGGCTGGAGGCGCATCCGTGGGGATATCCATCACGAGGTGGATCCAATTTCCCCGCAGCGGTCCTCCATAGCCATGAGCAATGCGACCTGCACCTACCGTTACGGTGGCCCGGCCCGCTGTTCATGCATCAAATAGCGATTCCTAGGGAACTGGTTGCGAGTAGCATCTTTCTCCTTGACGACTGGTCAACTCCCAGTATATAATGCACTCCTCACATCTCCCCACAGCCCCTTTAATGATGTCGCCCTTACGTCGAACCGCTCAACCCAACAGCCATCGACATCGCTCACCGGCCATCATTAGAACTTCCGACATCTCGCCATGAAGATCACTGCTCTCGTATCCCTGCTCGGCTTCCTCGCTGCGTGCAACACCACTTCAGCCAAGAACGACAAGAAGAAGAAGGGTGGACTAGGGGAAGCGTCGTTTGTCTTGATCGGGGATAGCACTACGAATAACAACACTGTTACACCGAATTGTAAGTCCAGGTGGCGGACGCCTGAACCGTAGCTTGCTGAATCTTGGATCCTTTCGCAGCTGGAGGATGGGGTAATGGATTCTGTGCGTCGTTACAGCCCGGTATCGGCTGTCAGGTGCGTCAGGCTTGAAATACTCGCCACGCCCCGACTAAAAGCTCACACACCTATCTTTGAACATATAGAACTTTGGCTCTAATGGTGCGACCACGGGCACAATCGTCACGAGGGGTTTGTACGAGCAAGCTATCAATGCGACCAAGGCCGAAGTGGCGGACGGGAAGAGTGTGTTTGTAACGCTGCAATTCGGACACAGTACGTCCAGATCGAACGACGGGAGGCGAATTAGTAGTTCCTTACCTGTGCTTATGTTGTGTTTTCTGTAGACGATATGAAGATCGCTGGACCGGAATCAATGGCCGCCAACTTGACGCAATTCGTTTCGGACATCCGATCCATCGGCGGGCACCCTATCTTGCTCACTCCTCTGTCTCGGAGAGGATTCAAGAGTGACAACGTGACGATAAACAATACGTTGGGTCCATGGTCCGATGGTGAGGTCCTTTTCGTTTAACTGCTGCGCCATGCTGCACGAGTTGATTATGGCCTCCTCGCGATCGTGAAGCTGCCCGCGGCGTCGCCACACAGACCAATAGCACCCTATTGCCGCTCAATGAGGCATCAGTCAATTACCTCCAGTTGCTCGGTCCCGATGCGTCGCACCTCATGAACCGGCTACCGGACGACAACACGCATCTCAACCTCGGTGGTCAAGAGCTGTTCGGCAGGTGAGCATGGCGCCAGGAAGCGATCCACGCTTCGCTCGGATTCGCGGCTGACAGTGCCTGTCTTTTAACACCTGCTAGAATGGTGGCTGACCTGATGGCCTTGCTCACTGGCTTTGAATTGAACTTTGCTACCGAGTCGCCGTTTGTACCGAATCCTCCTCTCTCCGAAGCTATCTGGACAGGGAAGCAATACGTCACCCATGTAAGTCTGGCTGTCTCCAGTTGTCAATGCAATGTAAGGCGGGCCGTGCTGACCTATCTGCACAATAGGCCGTATGCCCCTCCTACAACGCATCTGAGTGTATTGGTGTAGAGCCTCGACCATTGTAGTGGTTTACAGCTGGAGACGCACTGCGTCAAACGATGTTAGGATTCGTGGGCGGGGTCATGTGCTATGGCTTGAATCATAAGAGTTATGTTGACTCGAGGGATACGGAAAACGTTGACGCTAAGATCGGTTGTAAGGATCACTGAGTCTCCGCCGGAACTAAAGCAAAGGCGCACACAATGTAAAGAAATAACAATAGTATATACCGTCAGTCTTTGATGGCTGGTGTCACGTCTGCTCCAGAACTAGCTATGGCAGTGCTAGGTGCTAATCCCCACCGGAGCATATGCAAGGATACGGTCCAGCTTGTCAAGATGCGGAACCAAACTAGAGGTAGTTTCCTATGACTCAGCGGCAGTCACGCGACCCTCATTCCGTTGACTCGGATAACAAACCAAGCATGACTCGACAAGCGGCGAGACGTATATAACCACGAGACCTCTACTTGACGGCCTACTTCCTAGCAGGTGTTCATCGCAGCGGCGCCATGTCTTCACCAGCATCCTTCTCTTACTCGATCGTCGACGCGTTCACCTCTTCGCCATTCGGCGGGAACCCAGCAGCGGTAGTGGTCGTTGATGGAGACCTCAAGAACACCTTTACGGACCAGTTAATGCAAAAGATCGCAGCCGAGTTCAATCTGAGCGAGACTGCGTTCGTTACACCGACCGACACGCCTGGCACATTCGGATTGAGGTGGTTCACTCCCACCTTTGAAATTAACCTCTGCGGCCATGCCACCCTCGCTTCCGGCTTTGCTCTCTCATTGCGTCCAGAGTATGTCGGAATAGAGACGTTCAAGTTCAATACCATGTCAGGGGAGCTGACCACTCGGAAACTTCAAGACGGATCCCTTGAGATGAATTTCCCGGCCATCGTCCCAGAACGTGTTCCACCCACCGAGTACTCTGATTATGAGCAGCGTGTCCGTAAAGCTGTTGGTGGCTCGACACAGGCAAAGATAGTGGATATCTTAGGCAAAGACAGTTTCCTAATTGTCGTATTCGATGTTCCCGAAGATGAGCATATGGGTGATTGGACCGTCAAGGAAGAAAGCCTAGTGAGCAGAAGTAGCTTCTTCATCTAGGAGACACGTTAAGCGCTTATACTCTACTCTGTATAGAACATTGAAAAGTACCCTGCAGTCGGTTTTACATGTGTAAACAAATCCGATCCACGCCAACACATTTACAGTCGAGCCTTTGCGCCTTTTTGGGGGATCCCGGAGGACCCCGTCACCGGTTCGTACCACTGCACACTTGCTCCCTACTGGTCACGACAGCTTGAAGGAGTCCGATCTGGAGACGAGATAATCGGAGGCCAGGGGGGAGGAGGCGAGGAGATATCAGGTGTGTCTGGCTTGAAGATGCTGGAAGAGTTCTTTTGAGGGGCAGTGCTTTCGAGGGTAAGACTCATCTCAACTATTCGAGACGCAGCGACAGCTAGCTGACCGATCTACGAATCGAATGGATGTATATAGTCGCAACGGGTGTCATGCGAACGGCCTAAGCAAATCTTTCAGGGGCAAGACACCAGTAACACGTTACCTGCATATATTTTGATCAAAATGTTAGCTATGCACCGTTGAAGGGCGTCAAAAGGAAATAAAGCTAAGATGGCCTTAGCTACTTAATAAGACCCTTGGTAGGCAGGAGATGCGCAGCCTTTTGCCACTAACTAGCCCCTCCTCACAATCGCTCGTCAATATAGCCGGCGGATATCCTTCTCCCTTCGCCTTTTCGATCTTAGTTATGTCTCATCTCACATGCCATAGTCTGCAGATTCCGGTAATGGACTTTTCCAAGTCGTGGGGGCTCCACCTTACATTGACCGTATCACTATGAAAGATGGGAAGAGACTTGCGATTTTTTTTTTGGTACTCCAATTGCAGAGAAAAAGGTCTCCTTGGGCATCTTGTGCAGTTTGGGCGCTGACTAGGGTACGGAAACCCTGTTCGTCGAATAGGATGCATGCATCGATCTTGCTCGACCGCCCGCACAAAAACGTTGCAACAGAATGAATTATGGTCAGCTTTTCACCCCAGATTATCCCTCTGGCAACAAGAAGATACGAACCGCCCATTTCATCCCTTGGCGTTTATGTTCCCCGATGACATACTTCAGCTGCAATAACAGTCACGGGAGGCTGCACGGGACCAGGAGCTGTTGCGGAGGCAGCCACATGTCGTTGAAGCTCCTTGTTCGTTTCTTGCTCTCGAACGTACACGCGTCTTAGTTGGATCAAGGCATGCGCAGGTCGTCCTGCAGACGGCCCAAAATGTGTTCATCTCCCAGAGCGAGAACCTTGGAGAGTTCGATTTCGCTCGCGTTGGGTTTCTTTGCGGCGTTGTTGCCCTCGTTGGTAGGCATTGGGCAAGGCTGCGCTCCGCATGAGGAAATTGAGACCAAAATTAAAAGGGTAAGGCTAATGTAGGGTGGTTGAGCAAAGAGTCTCAGTACAGTGATTAACGCTACATCACTAGGTATTTTGGTGGTGGTTAAGAGCTGAAGTCGCACAAGCTGTGAGGCCCAGCTGATGGAAACGAATGCTCCTTACTTAAATTTGGCCAATAGCATCAATGAACAGCCCACACGATGATGAACGAGATGATGGACGCGTCAGGCAGTCAAGATAGATGCCAGGCAGATAAGATAAGCACGTGGCCTTCGGGAAGCGGCCGCCGGGGCTCACTCGCGTCGCTCGCGTCGGTTGGATCGACAAAAATCCCGTCATTAACTCCGTCATTGGATCTCGGAATCGACGTCATGACACTTTGTTAAATTGATTTCATTTCCCCCGAGCTAGTGCAGCATGATTCCTGGAATCAGCATGATTCGCC